TACTAGCCAAGAATTCAGTGAACACATAGAATGATATACTCAACTATGTAAACATAATTGTAACATATAAGTAAGCAAACTTATGTGTGCTCTAAACTAAATCTTAACTATGATAGAATTACCATACGCAAACAAAGTAAACACACAGGTTGACTAATCAACAAGCATAATGTTAATCTTCTACTAATTAAGTTCTTAATTCATCAAATGTTAGAATCAACCTTAAAGTATGACTTTGTTAATAATTTTACTCAACACTGTATAGCAACTCTTTTAAAATATTTCACCATCTTCTCCTGAGAAGCCAATGACTGGGTCTGGTTGAGGTCCCTCCCCTTTCTCGTTGATAGCCTGAACTTTGATCTCAAAGGCAGAGAAGTTGCCAACATCATTCACAATAAAAGACGGTGTTGTTGTGTAGTTAGAATGCCAGTTGGGGCCACTGCCCAACACGTTCCTCCACATCACTCTGTACTTGAAGTCAGGCCCATTGAATTCACGTTTTTCCATTTCCTGAAATGACAATAACAGCAGCAAAACAAACAGAAGTCTTGTTTTAGAGATTGATTGATGTTACTTCCGATAATTGTTCATTCAGGGAACAACTGTACCTGCCAAGTGATGACCAGAGTATGTGGGTCTCCTGACTCACTCTTAACGTCTTCAGGGTTATTGTCTGGGGCTGTGATTTGGAAAAACATTCAGTGTTATATTGTTTGGAGTTTACACTGACAATGAAAACTTGTCATTATAAGAGACTGGTTCTTACCTTCTGCAAGTGTATTGTGGATTTCAGATGGCTTGCTGGGGTCACTTTTGCCCACATCATTGATGGCAATGACCCGGAAACGGTAGGACATGTAGGGCCACAGGGAGAGGCTAGCATGCTTCTTGTTCCCATTTACTCTCTTCAGCTCTTCCCAACCGCTCTCCTTCAATTCTTGGTCCTCAAATTCAACCACATATTCTGTAGGAACATCGAGTCAAGGAGAGATGGGGAAAGACAGAAAACAAACAATAAGGAAGCAATAGAAAAATAAATAAATGCTACTGACAAACTGTTACTTTTAACTTTACAAAAGTCTGATACTGCAGATCAGATAATATTTTTGTCCAAGTAATGAAAACCAAGCAGCCTCCCATTATGCCAGTGGGAGATAAATGATATGGGTTTGTTGCTCTGAGTGTTGGAGTTACACAAGATGAAAAGTTTTATATTTGTCTTTGTGTTTGTGTGTCTGTGTCCGTGCATATCCTTATTTAGTGGCACTAAGTGAAAAAAAGTAAGAAAAATAAATTTTCTTAAACCACAAACAGCTAACTATTCATATACAGTGAAAGCAGCTTTAGTCTTGAATGGAAGAAAAATAGGACAGGTATGTGCAGATGTGTAAGTTTGTAAATGTGAATATGTGTGTACTAAACCTAGCACAGGGCTGTTGTGATCATCTCCAGGAGTCCAGCTGAGAGTGACTGCACGATGCCTAGGGTCGGTGATTTGGAGGAGGACAGGAGGGTCCGGACGATCTGAGGGGAACAGCAACAATATCATTAGCACAGCCACCTGTATATTTTCATTTAGACAAATAGGTCTATATTTAATTTTGAAGAATATATATTAAAAGATTTGCGAACAAAAGTGCAAATATTGTGTAGTCCTGTTGTATACTAAGTCTCTGACAGTTGCTGGATTTTGATCAGTGATCTTACCATATAAAGTGAGCGTGCCACTGGCTTCAGCCATGTCCAGCTTAGTGATGACCTGGCAAGTGTACACAGCTTCATCATCTGGTTCCACATTAGCTATTATCAGGTCTGGTCCTTCAAATGTGTATCTGAAGACATAGAGTCATCACTGTTATCCTCATCTTCCTCTTCTCTTTAATTATGATAACACCCTCCATTTACATGTGGTACAAAGAAATGACTGAGGGTGTTATGGATTTATTTGTATTGTTTGAATCTTTGCTGTTCTTCATGATTGACATTGTTGCCTGTCTTGCTCCAGACACTTATGTAAAGGAGATTTTTTATTTCAGTGAGGTTTTCTGGTTTAATAAAGGTTAAATATAATAAATTAAAAAAATAATGTCAAGTCTGTTCCTGATTATGCATTGAGATTCACCATACAACAACTATGGTAATCATGGATATAACAATGCTGTTGTCAGTAAAATGTAACATTATCCTCCTTGTCAGTTCTCTAACATCTGTACAGTATAGGATCTAGTCTTACTTTTCGTCACTGTCAGACCCAAACAGCTTCTGGTTGTTCTTTCTCCACTGAATGAGCGGCGAGTCAAGTTTGGGGTCAACTAGGGCTGAACAGGTGAAAATTGCTGTGTGTCCAGGCTGCACCTTCAGAGCCTGTGGAGGTGACACAATCACTGTCCTGTCTGGAGAGGAAAGCAGGGAGACATACAAAGCTGAGTCAAACTTCATGAGGTGCATCAGTTGCTAGGGGACACATTGCATGGGGGGGGGGGGTCCTTGGGATTACATGTTGTTGGGACATAAATCTGTTTACATAGTCATGTTTTTTGGGGACATAAAAACAAGTCCCCAAAATATAAATCACTACAATTTAGAGTGATGACTTGGTTTAAGGTTAGTGGGTTAGGGTTAGGCAGGTAGTGGTTATAGTTAAGGTTAGGATAAGTCTCCAGGAAATGAAAGTAAATCCATGTAACGTCCCATGAAGTGATGAAAAAGCGACGTGTGTGTGTGTATGTATCTCACTTACTGAGTACTTCCAGCTCTGCACTGATGAACAAGTTAGTCTTCTGTACAGAGCAGTTGTAGACTCCCTCATCATCATGGGTGACATTATAGATCTCAAGTCCCCCATTGGTGAGCAGGTTAACCCTGGGATCTCCTAGAAAGGAAGGTATGCTGCTGGTCTCCCTGGAAGAGACATGCACACATACATGCAAGCACGCATATCAGAATCTTGGCAAGCAGAGTAAGAAAAAAGCTTCTTTTGCTATTGGAATTCACCAGTTTAATTACCACTTTAATTCCACCAAAAAGAACAATGCTGGGTTGGACACCTGCCACGCTAACAAAAAATCACAATCACAGCCCAGATGTAACAGCAGTGGGGTGTTAATTCATGCATATAATGAGCTACCTAAGCTCACAGCGCTATCACCCCTGTGAAATTTGTTAATATATAAAAATCTCCCAAACAACAAAGTAGAATACACAATTTAATGCAATAAAGTACAAGGCAACTGACAAAAATTCACAATCACAGCCCAGATGTAACAACAGTGGGGTGTTAATTCATGCATATAACGAGCTACCTAAGCTCACAGCACTATCACCCCTGTGAAATTTGTTAATATAAAAATCTCCCAACAACAAACTAGAATACACAATTTAATGCAATAAAGTACAAGGCAGTACAAGGGCCTCACCATACAACTTTAGGTTTGGGAGAACCAAAGGTCTCACACTCCAGTAAAGCCTTCTGGCCCTCTGTAAATGTATATATATTCCCATTATCAGTAAGGATCCGTGGAGGCAGCTCTGAAACAACACACAGAGAGAAATGAGACACACGCAGGCACACATATGCAACATTCTGTTTAATAAGTGACAAGGAAAACAAACACTCACCAACAACATAGACGTTGGCGTTGGTAATGATGGTGCCATGCTTGTTGGAGGCCCGACACTGATAAATGGCAGTATCTCCAAAGTTGACGTCATCCAGTTTTAGAGATCCGCTTGCTGTCAGAGTACGTCTAGGGTCCTTATCAGTTTCTGTTGACAAGTACACAGTGTCAGTGCACGCACAGCACCCAGGGTTGTGTGTTGAGGAATGCATGTGCAGGTGGATGTTTGTTCTGACCTGAGAGGGGGATCCCATTGATGGTCCAGCTGATGATAGGATTGGGGATGCCGTCTGCCTGACAGTCTAGTCTGACAGTCTCACCTGGGGCGTATAACTGACTGACTGGCTCCTTGGTCCAGTAGGGAGCAGCTACAAGGGACAGAATATATTAAGGGCATACAGTACAGACAAAAGATTACATTCTTTAGTCACACATTACTAACAAACCTTTACTCAAGACAGTACTCTCTGAGGGGTTGAGATTAGTTTTCAGTTTCAAAAATAAAATAACCGATCGCCACGTTTTTTTTTTTCCAATATTTAAAAGGGCACTCCACTAATTTTACAAGTCAAAGTCTATATATTAGTATCGGTTTGGCATTATGGAATAAATTTTAAACAGAACTCCCCCTTGGAGTTTGAAAGTTTACTTGGCATGGAGGTCTACTGAAAAGACATCATAGTGTTGTTTTGTGGAAAATTTAGGATCCAATGTTTTTGGAGGCTAAAATTCAGGATATCTTTACCTTTGCTGCATCAGTTCATCGGTCTGGGGAGAACAGTTTTATTTCAGCTTTGATTTTACAAATGCATTTAATAGATATGTAAACAGTTACATCATAGGTGAATCCCAAATCCACTAACTACATCTAAGTTTCCCTCACTTGCATCTTTTCCTTGTGTCTTAAGCTGGATTTATGGTTCTACGTTAAATCTATGCTGTATCTATGATGTAGGTAACATGTAACCTTGTACCCTATGCCATAGCCCACCCTGTAGACTGACATGCACCTTTCCAGAAATGTAACTGTACGTCACTGCAACACAAACAACACCAACCATGATTGGTTGTATTGCATCTCCTCTTTCATGTCTCTCAGTGGCCAGACAAGCAGGCATTCTCTCCCCAGAGAGAAAGAGAAATTGCTTGTGGATTTAAGGCATGCAGTGAGATATATTTACAAGACTCAGATCCCTTAGTTCCTACTCAAGCACCATTCAGTAGAATCGAATAGTTTGCAAATGTAACAGCACTAACTGGGATTTACCTCGTGTGTGTTGTGTATATAAGTGTGCATACAAGTTTATAATTTATTTATCTATATGGACAATAAAATATAATGCCTGGTGTCTACATATAAGACCATACATTTAAAACAGTAGTACAAAAAGCAGAGACTTGTGTAACTTCATGACTCAATCTATAACTGAATCCTGTCTTATTGCAGCTTGTACAACATTTCTATGCATTGCTCTCATGAAAACAACACATTCTTAAAGCTACCAACTTCAAAATCACTGATGGCTGTGCTGTGGTATAATGTGTATGTGACATACCTTCCACAATCACATTGTAAGTGTGGATGATCTTCCCTTGGGAGTTGTTAGCTTTACACTGGTACTCGCCACCATCACTCTCAGAGATATTAGTGAAGAGCAGGCGGCGGTCAAACATGTCTTTAGTAGTCCGAGATTCAGACAGCTCACCATCCCTCCTCAGCCATGACACATCAGGTGTTGGTCTGAGGAGGAAGAGAAAGGGGGAGAGAAAGGGTTATCAGAAATGGGAAGCATGAGCAGGGAGGGATGTAACAAAGAGAGAGGAGAAGCAACGTTGCGTGACAGAGGTCGAAAGCGAGAGAAAGTGGACATTAAATGAAGAAGGCAGGCAAAGAGAGAAAGAGACGTGTTGGGAGAAAAGATGGGAAATGCTGGAAAATGAGAAGGCAGCAAGAGGTAGAGTTGGCAGGAGACAGCAAAAGATACATAATTACACAGATAATTTTTTTTTAAAAAGAAGGATTAAAAATTGTGCATGTAGGCACATGTCATATGAAGCTGCTCAGGACCAGTCATACACTGAATGTATCTGCACTGTGAGGATGCAACTATATGCTTTTATAGTTTTATAGCATGAAGAGAGTGTAGGGAGGTAGGAAGAGGGGAGGTGGATGTGAAGCAGGTAAGACTGATTATCAAAAGCGCTAACGTTTTCTGACTGATGGGGCAGAAACACACACAGACACTCACAGGCCTTGGACGATGCACTCAAGCTCCAAGGTCTGGCCCCTGAGGGCATGGTAAGTACTATAGGTTCCAGTAGGCCTCATCATCTGTGGCCTCTTGCTCTGTACAACTGAGTCGGCTGGAGAAAGGGAAGTGGAAACAAAGAGATGGAGGGGAAGAGTCATACATATGTATGGGTAATTTTCAGACTGCCATGCTGCTGACACAGCAGCCTTTAGAGACACACACATAGATACCGGCTGTGGAGTCATGTGGACAAAACATAACAGTAATAGCACATCATACAGATTTTCTACACACACACAGAGGTCTCCTGTTAACATGTGCTCATCTTTTTGACCTCAAGTTGGGCCACAGATGCTGGCAACCACATCTCAGTGTGAGCTGCATCTCATTACTACCGGACTGAGGAGGCGATGGGCCCCCTGCCTGCTGTGGTCAGCACAACAATCCACTACTCGGAGGTGAATTGACTTCAGTTTAATTATGAGGCCTTTGTGGTTCTCTACAAATAGTCAAGTGCCAGTTTGATATACACACATGTAAAGAACATAACTATAATGGATGTGGCTGTATACACTGGCAGCATGGCTGTAGGAATGGCAATGTCTTCAGTCATTTGGTCTATCCAACACTTTGCTACAGACTGAAATATTTCAAAAATAGTTCAATAGATTGCCCTGAAATCTGGTACAGATATGCTTGGCTTCCAGACAATCCTAATAATGGTGATGATGTTCTGACTTTTTCGCTAACACCAGCTTGTGGTTGACCTTTGTGGTTATGAGAGAAATGTCTCAACAGCTACTGGGTGGAACCCCTTGAAATTTTGTACGGACACTCACATCCTCTTTAGGATGACTGGCATTAACCTTGGTGATCCTCTGACATTTGATTTAGAGCCATCATCAGGCCAAACATTTACTCTCCAGTATTTTGATTTTCAATCAAATGCCTGCAAATTAATGTCATTCCTATCATCAGCATATGTTAGCACTCTAACCTAGAGAATGGATCAGGCCACAGTTCAGGTTACTAATATTCTGATCCTCTTGTGTATGTAGCTAGGGAGGACAAAAATATAGAACCACCACCTCTGCATATAATGTAGTCCCGTACAACACCACCTTTAACAATGACCTCAATAATAAACATATATTTGAATGTATACATTTATGACAATTTCATCAAAAACTGAAACATTTTGAGTTCCATAAACACAGATGTAAAGGTGGAAGTGTTGCCATGAACTGCATACAATTGTACAGGTGTGCCTAATAAAGTGACCAGTGAGTGTATAGGAATAAACTGAGAGAACTGGGTTGCATCATTTTACACATAGTCATTTATGAAAAAAGTCCAGACACCTACTCTATAATGGTTCGTTTCTTACATGGCAGTAATGTAAGAAACCCGATGGATGTGGAACGCTTCCTACAACTTGATCATTCATTAAGACCTTCACACTCAACTGGTTTAAATTTTGAATAAAGGTATTCTTAGCTTAAAGATGCACTTCAGGAACCCAGTTCAGCTCAGGTTAGGTCCGTTCAGTCAAAGTCAGTTGGAATTTAGCTGATCCAGAGCAGAACTCACTGGGGGTGACAGTCAGAGTGATGGCTTCCTTTGCTAGAATGGTGCGTGTTGCCAGGTACTGGACATGGCAAGTGTAGTCATCCCTGTTGTCCTCAGGTGTCAAATGGGCAAAGTATAGGTTGCCGTCCTTCCCCAACACCACCCGCTGACTCAGCTGGATGTAGTGTAGCCCTGAAGTGAGAGAGAGAGAGGAGGTGAGAAAGAGAAAGAGAGGGAAAATGATGATAGACAAAAGCTGCCAAAAATGAGAAACAAGGGAGACAGATGTAGGAGATCAACAATGGAATACAATTGTAATATGGCAGAGTAAAGGAAGGTACAGAGGCACAATAGGATGAGAGAAATAAAATGATGAAAAAGAGACATCAGAGAATAGGGGTGAGAAAAGAGCCTGCTCAGGCTTTTACAGATGCCAAAGATATTTTATTCCAAATTCCATCCAAAAAAATATTATAGTTTAGTTTTTTAAAAATAAATAAATAACTACCTCTATAGTCTAAATGAGAAATTTAGACTGGAGTCGACCGGAAGGATGTAATGGAAGTGGAGGTGGAAAGATAATGTACTTACTCCAGTCCATCCAGTGAATGATAGGCTTCATTGAGCTCTGGGGGGGGTTACACTTCAGGACAATGCTGCTTCCCTGTTCAGACTTCACAGTAACCCGTTTTTCTTTCTGCTGAGTTGGGGGAACTAAAGCGACACAAGCGGGGAAAAATACACACCTGTTACTCTGCATAGATACACACAGGTGATGTACACAAACGCCCGCAACATGATTTTCTGAGGCAATCCACATCACACATCAATACAAACACACAAAGCAGTGGATAAAGGTGTTATTTATAAACTTCTACTTGAGAAACTTTGGGGATTTTAGACGTGTCTTCAGAGTAAGCACCAGTTTGTCGTTTGTCTTGCAGATAACCCCACATGAGTTAGTGAAGAGTGCTTTGCATGACATAAACTCAAGAGCGTTTCTGGGGAAACCGTTGTCAGGGAAACTGTGAAGGAAAGAGGTTGCACAGGAGAAAGCCACACAGGTGGATGCACACACAGAGGTGCTCTTTTACCCAGGGACCCATGTGTGTGTGCTCGTGTACATGTGAGTATATGCTGATTGTCCTGTTATTCCATGTACATGTAATTATGTTGTGGGTGGCAGGACTCAGAGCTCCCAGTGTGAGCCTCCATCTGCTAATAAATGAGCTCTCTATGAGGCAGGGCAAGAAAAAGATGTATACACCAACAACACAGCTAGCCCTCTAATCTGAACCTTGAAGTCTTTTACAGGAACATTAACACTGAAAAAGATATTTATAAAAGATAACCCTGAAAACATGTGAAAGGATTTTTGATTTCTTTGATATTATTATAAAGAGTGTGATATTATTGCAAATACAATCCATGCATGACTGAGTTAAAGTATTTAACTTATCAACCATCAAACGTTTGTGACTATCTCCATAAGTGGCTTGTGGTTGCTTTGGGTTTAATCAGCAATCAGTTGTGCGCTTACCGTCAGTTTTAAGTATGACCTCATTAGACACAGCTGTCCCCAGTTCATTGGATGCATAGCAGACATATTTGCCTTGGTACTGCTTCAGGGTGTCCATAGTATTACTGAGTGTGTAGAAT